AATGTAATTTTCTGACCAGCTACCCATTTGGGGTATAGAGTAGTCACTAACATGAATATAAAATACTCTGTGGTATGATAGAACACTATAGCAGCAGAGAGTAAGAAGAGAGGAGATTTTAGAAAAAAAAAAAAAAAAAGGAAAGGAAAGGAAAAGAAGAGGGGGTTAGCTGACATCATACAAACCAGCATAAAAAGCAACTACATACAAGCCAGATTAAACAAAAGAGACATTTCTACAAATCTGTGACTAATCTTTCACTCATACCTTGCAAGTAGAGATGTCACAATACTGAAATATTAACATGGGAGCTTTTCCCAGTTAGGCGCCATTTTCTTTTCTTTTTTTTTTTCTTTTTTTTTCCTTTTTTTTTTGTAACTACTCTAACAGATAGTGAAATCAGCAAAGTTATTTGCTAACTGCATATTTGCAATACAATTTGTTTTAGCCCATGCCTTGCTAGCAGGCTATAAAATACAAGCATGTAGGCAGAAATATAAGCATAAACTTTGTACCACTTAGCAGGAATTTTGTATTCCCTCTTCATTCCTTAATCTCCTTTGTTTGCAATTTGTGTACATTCCAACCAGTAGTACCTAATTTGAGTCTAAATTTTACTTCACTATTTGATCTAGTCTATACATTACTTACAGAACTGAACACACAGAGGATACACAATAGGCCAACTCTGGACACATTTCTTTCTACAAGTTATAGACGAGCCACCCTACCGCTCTAGCGTACGTTAGTCTAAAAGGTCATCCATAACTTGCTGAAATACCTTTTATCTAGAGAAAGTCATTGTATGCCCTGCTTACGCAACACCAGTTTTAGTGTGGGTGGGTTTCGGGGCCAGAGCAGGGCCCTGGCGGCAGGAAGAGGGGAACAGCGTCCGTGGAGGTGGAGATGTGAGCATGGCCGATACCGGCCACGACGGTGCCGGCCGAAAGGGGTAAAGTAAAAATGAAAAAAGGACAAAGGAGCGGGCGGCGCGCGGGACCTGCGGCTGCGCCGGGCGCCCCGTGGCCGCGTGCGGGAAGGGGTCGGCTCAGTCGCAGAAACAACACGGTGGCAAAACACAAAGAGACTCTGGGTTTTAGGAGGTTCGACCTAAGACTACTGAAAAGAGAGTTTATAGAAGTTCATGACAAGAAAAAGCAATGGAGCATCATGCTGAATGGGCAGGGTCGCAAACCCCTTGTTTCAATAGATTTAGTTCATTATAAAGGCAATAGTCGTTAATCGACACTGGTGGTGCATAAATCTAGACAGCGAACTGGTACTGTGACATCCCTATTATCTCCTTAAATCATTTTGATAAAGGAAAAGGCTTTTCAAAATATCACATTTTTTCTGCTTCATTCTGTCATTTTATTGCCCAATTCTTTGTTACAATTTTCCAATCACTTTACATAACCAACCATTTTTATCATTGCCACACTATTGTAAACCACATCAGCAAGTTAATACATAAAGCTTTGCATTTCAAAAAACTAGACACTTTAGTAACAATATTACAAAGATTTTAGCTTCAAAAATAACTGAAAATGAAAAAAATAAACTTTTAAAGAATTAGCATCATAAAATTAATTTATTCCAAGTAAAAATACAAAATAATATTAATGACATTGACCAGATATGAAAGTCTCTCCCAGAAACAACTATATTAATGGTTGAGAAAGCACTCCTTAAAGAAAATACGAAATAAAAATGAAAAATATGTAAATATGTTTAATTTTTTTCTTAGCAAAAAATCTTTCTAAAAATAACAATGAAAATTTGTCTCAGTACAAAGGCTACATTACTATTGAAAAAATACCAGCATGAAGAAAAGGTACATATTTGACAGTAGAAAAATGATTTTAGTGAATCACAATGTCTAAAGTCTGCAATGAAAATAAATCTGCAATAAAGATTTATGCCTTTTTTCTTTTCATTTTTCTTTTTTTTTATACAAACAGTACAAACAGTATTGCACATAACAACAAATAGTCGAGGTTAGGTTAGCCTTCAAAAAAATCGACTAGTTCAAGTCTCACATCAGAAAAGGCCACAATAGGACCTGTTGTACCCAGGGGCTTCTTAAGTCAAGTTGCAGTTCAGAACTCCGTATTTTAAAAAATAACTTTTTTTTTTTTTGAAGGACCCTCTTTTAATATAACATATCAACAACTCGGGGCACATTCATTTACAAAACAAAAGGGAGCATGTTATAATTTAATAAACTAAAAAAAGTTCTCTTTAAAAAAATACAAACAGAAGAACTCTCACAATTCTGGTCAGTCGTGCAGAATCACACTGATTATAAATATACAAATTAAGGGAAAAGATTTTTTTCACCTTCTATTCACAACTTTCAGCACCAAATGGAGTTTGTGTTTACAAGTGTTCTTTATGATAACTGTTTTAGTTTTAATCCAACATTACGCTGTATTGTTCGTTTTCCAGCTTCTCTCTCTCTCGCTCTCTTATTTCGCTCGCTCTCGCTCGCTCTCGCTCTCTCTGGGGGTGTTTCTACATGAAAGAGGGGGTTTTCTTCAAAAACTTCTTTCACATAATTAGGTAGATTTCTGTAGGTTAGCTATGATCTTTAATATTACAGTTATAAAGCTCTAACTTCTTCATTTTTCAAAAAAACTCAAATAAGCATGAAAAAAATAAAGTTACCCATCTGTTAAATCATTTTTCTTGCAGAATTAAATTAATATATATTTTTCTGAATAAACTTACTTAGAAAATATCATTTTCTTTCCTATATTTCAAAATTGAGGTATTGCAAAAGATCATGTCAGTCAGAAAGCATGCCTTTTTCTTTAAAAAAAATCATCAGCCGACTGTTGAAAACTGTCTAGATACAAAAAGTAGTGCATAACAAAATGTCTTGTACAGATGAAAAAACAGAAAAGACACCTGGGCTGGGAAAAGCAATATCACAAAAATGCCCAGAAATAACCTTGAAAGGGATAATTATAATAAGCATTTTAAACCAGTAAAAAACTATTTTTTCTTTTTTTTTTTTTCCAAAAACAGAAAAGTTCCTTTCAAAGCCAATACGCGCAACAAAACACTGGGAGAAAAAAAAACCACAAACAAACAAACAAAAAAAAAAAACAAAAGAAGAGCTTGCTAAATTAGACACAAACGAGGACATCACAACAAATAAAACCCAGACATTTAAATCTACTATGCGGTGTCATATCCAGTCAGATTGTCCCCAGAACTGCAAAACCCAAAGGAGGCAAAAGGAAAGGACATAGTGTACACATTCTCACAATCGTTAGGATACCAGGTGTGTGTGTGTCATTGTTAGCTATCCGCAGCCCCACAGTTCATGCTAAAAAAATGTCCACTGTGTTAGCGGCTCTTGCTTGTGTTCAAGCTTCACAGGATGCAGGGGCTGGGCGAGATAACCGCGTGCACAGAGCGGAGCTCTCGTGGTAACGGGTTTGTGCAGACATTTCTTTAGCACCCCTTTTTTCCCAACTTCCTTAATTTGTGCCTAGTCTGTGAGTCTGCCGGGCGCCTGGGCGGCAGCGCGGGGCGGCCAGGCTGAGCTCTTTGGTGTCCGGGCCAGGGTCTGCGGCTACGGGAGGGCTGCAAGCGTTAGGAGAGAGGTGGTGCCTAAGAGCTCATTCCTGTTTATGTACCGGTTATGAACTGTGTTAATGTTGGATACAGAGGCTTTAACAGTTAAGTTTGATCACAGTACTAGACATAATCACTTTACTATATAAAATAAATTGCACGATATATAACAGAGCACCGCAAAGTACTTCATCTACCATCCACAAATTTGTTTTAAGAATATCCTACAGCTAGTTTTTAATATTTGTTGTAATATAGGTCATTCTGTAATGGGCTGATCCTAATTTCAGAAGCATTACATTTACTGAGGCATGCCTTCCTCCAGTCAGTAATCGATTTTTTTTCTTTTGTTACTGAGTATTTTTTAGCCTACATAGATTCATAATTTGTGCATTGTGGGCAGGTTTTACATTAGACATATATAAAATTTATTGCATGCAGCAACCTGATTAAGTAAACATGCAGTCAAAATATTGACCTTCCTTGGAAGCTTTTCTGTATGCTATACTGATCTCCTTTCAGCAGCCATCACTATTTTAATCACATATTCATTTTTTAATTGATACCCTAGCCTGAATAGAGTATTATGGTATTAGTAATACCATTTTAATAGCAGCAAAAGCTATTGCAGCATACATTTACATAACACTAAAAGACCTAACCAAAAAAAAACAAACAAAAAAAAAAACAAAAACAAAAACAACAAAAAAAAACCCTCAGCAAAACAAAAGAAAAAAGTCTGATCCAGCTTATGAGGTATCATCCTTACAAGTCAAAATGGAGAGCAACTAAAGGCTTATTTTCTTTAAGGGTTATTACTACTCTAAATGACCCAAACTAATGATTGCTGAATATCCTTTTAAGTAAGTTTTTGCTACATCTGCCACCTACTTGTGAATATTACCTTTGGTAAGTCATCTGCTAGGGGCAAGTCTAAATTTCTGAAAATAAGTGCATGCTCCAGTTTCAAAATAAAAATAATTATAATAAAAAATCTTCATCACATACACATCAACCCAGTGAAGGCTGATGAGAATGGCAGTCTACATAATGTCACTAGTGACAAGTCTTGTGTAGGAAATTAAGGTACCAAGCAGATGTTTGTGTGAATCAAAGTGCAAAATCAGTACAGTTACACTCTGCCGGTTTGTATTATACTGGACACTGAGTTCAGTAATGTGACTGTAAATAATAATAATAGTAAGAAAAAGACCCATCTCTTCATTAAAGTCGAGGACGAATGCACAGATTTCCAGAACACTAAGCCCTGAGGCAGCGCTCGCTTTTCCCTCGATTTTATCTACTCCGGGCCGCGGTGCCGCCGGGCCGGGGCTCAGCTCCAGCGGAAGGGCACGTGCCGGGGCCGGTCACCTCCCTCCTTCACCAGGGGCTTGTGGAACTCGCGGCCGGCGCGCGAGTGGATGCTCGCCCAGCAGTATTCGCAGTAATACTGCAAGCAGGTGACGTTGGCACAGAAGAACGGAGCAAACTTCCCGCCGCAGCGCGTGCCCTGGCATTCGTCACACATCTGATCATCCAGCACGTATGGCTTCACTTCCACCTGCAGCGGGAAGAGAGGGAGAGCCGTGAGGCGGCGGGATGGGACGGGAGAGCCTGGAGCTCGCTTGGGCACCACCCTGGGGCTGCAGGAGCCCCAGGGCTCATTTAATCGTGTTTAACTGGAGTCGCCCGTGCAGCCACTATGGAACTGCTATGGAACTGCTGGAATTGCTAAAATGAAAAAAAAAAAAAAGACATATTTTAAGTTACACTGTACTACTAATATTCTGGAAAACGGTCTGAATATCTGCCATGCTGCGTATCAGGTACTTAGTAGGTTTAGAAGCATCATGTAAAATAAAACAGTCCTGTCTCAACTGAACTTGGAAGCAAGCAGATCCAGAGACCAGCATATGTCCAAATCCCTGCCTACTCACAATTCCAAAGGCTTGGAATAGATTCTCCCTCTCTCCTTTGCTTGTTGGGATTACTAGTGAAAGTCATTTTAAGGATGTGTGCTGCACAATTGAGGAATTTTAATCACCACCTGTCCTGATGAAGGACAGAAATAGGAGAGATTGCACTTCAAATTCAAGGTGCTTTAAGTAGTTTTATCTGTGAAAACAGTGAAAAGATGATTAAGTAAGCTTATATCCTCAATCAGCCATCTGGGAAAAGTACTGGCTGCAAGGAAACAGCTAACAGCTAGCATAATTTAGTGGTATATTTTAACACTTATGAGAAAACAAGATTTTAATCATGGATGATATTATATAAATCTCAGAGGGTTCAACAGTCTGATTAAGAATCCAAAATTAGTCTTGCTATTCTTACCAGAACAGTCTCTCAGTGAGAATGTTCAGAATTCCTTGGACAAGCAGTGCTGAAGAACCGTCTCGTCTTAGTTAAATCATTAAGTAGTGGAACCACAGAAAAATAATTGGAGAGATAACTGCAATAACTCACCAAATTTCAGGAAAGAAGGTCAGACTTTTAGCAAGAAAATGTAAGAGCTGAGATTCTACGGGTCTGTTTTTAAATACACACTGCACACACAGGCTTTCCCAATAGCTGTCCAGCTGCCTCCTCAATAAATAATCTATAGCAGATTAAACAGGAAAGCAGCCCTCCTTATTTTAGCAATAGGGAAGGGCAGTGCACATGCTGTGCTCTTTGGAGTAATTTCAAGCACTGAGTTCTCAAAACCAAAGGTGGTGTTTGCACACGCAGTTAGAGGCATAGTCAGATGGTCCAGAGAAAAAAAAAGTTTTGTGGAAAAAAATAATAGTTTCTTCTAATTCTTCAATTCGGATCTCATGAAATATATTAACTTCACCCCGTGCTTGGGAAAGCTGCTTAGAACCCAGGAATTTGTAAGCTCTGAAAAATGGTTTTTCCCTCTTTGGCCTGTGAAGCATCTGCCTGGATCTGTTCGTAGTGAAACGATCCTGGAGACTGCCGAGGTCGGCACTGATGTTATCACCCTGAGCCCCGTGATTTGGAAACCTCAGCCTCGACCCGTGGTGAAGAGGGAGAGCATTGCCTAAGAACAGCATAAATGCCACCAACTCCAGGCTGTTGACACGCAGTGACCAAACATCCAGAGGAGGAGAAGGAACGGTGCACGTCACCGGGAGCATTGCCGAGGCTCACGGCCAGCCTTCCCGAGTGCTGCACAATCAGTCAAGATCTTTAAGGTCCATCGGCTTCACTCTGCTCTGGCCACTTAAGTAAGCTTTTACGTAGTTAGCAAACATCATGTGAAGAACAGAGGTTACAGTGCCCTCTTCCATTATATTCTTGCAGGGATTTCTCCTCCTTTCCACCCTCGGTTTACTCACCCGTTTGTCAATGTCGTTGTGCTGGAGCTGCACAAAGCGAGCGCTGATGGCAGCGATGTAGCTCTGCTGGTTGGAGAAGGCCACGCGGCCGGCGCCTTTCGGGTACTTCAGCTCCGGGTCTGTGTCGATGCCCGCGTAGCAGACACCTCCGTATAAACGGTCCATAATCATTGCCAATTCAACTGCAAGGACGCAATCGTTACATATTACGTATTCAACAGAAATGATACTTTTCTGTTTGCGTAAGAGAAAAGCTGTTTGTTGTATTGTGCTTATCTTTAAAAGTGCAAAATAGCAAACATAAACGTTGGTTTGAACAGCAGAAAGAATCATCCCCCAGCATTAGAAGGTGAAGACAAAAAAACAGAATCTGTCACAAGAAACTCAGTGTGATGGTGTGAAAATATAAGGTTTTTAATGTATTTATGAGGCCAATATCACTCAAAGAATTTATCATCTTGGTGAACTGGTCATTTGATAGTCAGGATCTCCCCAGACCCAAACAGGCTTGGTAATGCCAGCTAACGTGTAGGCCCCGTTCAGATACACGACATAGTTCAGACCAGGTATTTTAGCCTACATACTAGGAGACTGAAAACACAGTAGCAAAGTATTCTGTATTTAAAACAAAAGTTGGTGAAACTTTAAAAGTTATGCTTCAGGAAGCCTAAATTTGGAGCCCAATTTAACATGTTTCAAACTTAATTCACTATCTTTTAAAATGATTTTCTGCTCTTTCTCTAACTAACAGCTTTTAAAGCATAAAATCTGTTTCCATATTTATGACGTGTTTCTATCATAACATAGAACAGGTTGATTGAGCAGCTGAGGAACCATACAGAGAGATTAAGAGAAAGCCCTGAAGGAAATGGAACAGTTTACACAAGCACACCCTTTACATAATGATAACCGTTGTCAAGTTCTCTGTAGAAAGGGATAGACACGTTTGTTAGATGGAGGACAAACCCTCACAAATCAAGTTACTGGGACCACTACCGGCTCCTGCCAAGTCAAGCATTTTTGTTCTGTGAATGCATCAAAAGACTTTCAACAGAGCAAGTTTAAACCTAGCTATGCAAGACGAAGTGAAAAGTATACTACATTTTAAAATCCCTGTAATTATTGCCAAATTAGTTCATTATTCATAAAACAGACACAATTATTAAAATAAATACGCATGTGCGTATAAATAAAGCGTCTGTGCCACATTAGGGAACACCACATGCCAATTTGTCCATTTGCAGCGAGCAAACAGAGGTCTGACTCATTCTGCCGAGCTAGGCGCAACAGATCACGAGGGATAATGGTCACACAGAGTGTAGGGACTTGGGGATCCTCTTACTTCCTAATGATTTATAATCGTCACTTAGGTAGCGATCCCAGAAAACAGCAAGAAGAACAGAACATCAAGAACAGTTAAAACAGCAGTTTCAATAAGATCCTCCCACCACTGGGCAAAGATAGTTTGCACGGTCAAAACCGCAGAGCTCAAACTCTTGGACCGAACTCCTGTCTCAGATTTGGAAAGGTGCACACAAGAAAAACTGGAAACTCTATCTGCCTTGAAAAAAAACCACTAATTCAAGGCATTGGCTTCCAGGTATAAGGTATAAACAAGCTAAGAGAGGCCAAATGACACTTCTTTTAAAAAATGCTGCAATTAGAAATGAGTTAATGTTTAACTATTATTATTTACTTAATTGCTCTTTCTTACAGTTTTGCTTTATTTTAAATGGGAAAGAATTAGGGGCCACCGAGAAACCTGGTCTTCCCTACAGCTCTCTGAGAGCAGCAGGGCTAGGATCAGGGTGGGGAGACGGAGAAAGTGAGAAGCTGCAGGTGGAGGTAGCTGCAAAGGGGCTCGGAGAGCTCCGAACAAAGTGTGGCGGGACTCATCGCCGGTGCAGCCAGAGAATCAGCATTAGGGCTAAAATAGTATTTATTAAGGAAAAAAAAAGACAAGTTGTAGGATATTATTCAAGCTTGAGTCTTTACGAAGACTGTTTCTAGTGAATATACTAATCAGTAACCCATTTAAAAAATCCAAAGTTTACTACAGATTTTTCATTTTGCTGCGTTTCGTCTACATGTATTTTATATAACCTTTCTCATCATTTTTGCTCAATCTCAAGGTCTGTGCTACCGGCCCTGCATTTATCTTGCACTCACCAGCTCGGAGGGGCCGTGGAACTCCTCCAACAAAGATAGTTTTCCGTGGGTCCAGAGGCTGAGACCCATCCATCACAAAGTCACTGTCACTTAGGTTCCATGGCCGAATTTGCACCTGAAAAGAACAATAAAAATTACTCTTCGTAGGGAAACTTGACAATTCAATAAGCAGCAATAGAACAACTGCCTGATCTTTCTAAAATTGAAATTATATTAAAAGCAAAAGCAGCAAATTGATGGTATAGCCAACAAAACAATTCAAGGACACAGCTTGTCTAAGGGTTTAAATGAAGGTGGACAATTCACTTATTACCTCTAGAGGCCAGGCTTGAGTTAAATTTCTTCAAGGCAAACTCTCCTACCTTACTAATTCCCTGCCTCCAACTGCCATTGTAATAAGAAATCTGTTAAAGGACTTGCAGAACATTTGGCCAGCTCTGTGCTACTACAGGTGCAGTTTCCTGTAATCACATACAGCAAGTCACTGATTTTAAAGCACTGATACAAATAGGGAGAAGAGAGAAAATTAGTTTTTGTGTTCTTAAACAGGAGTTTGTAAAAGTGTGCCTCCCTATTTCTGTTTAGCCGCAAGCAACACACTGGAAGAGGAGGCACACAGTGGAGGAGGCCGTGCCCAGGGTGCTCTGGGGAGAGGCTTTGGTTAGCCAGGCCAACTCCTGAGCGGTGCGTGTCCACAAGGCAGCACGGGATCATGCTTCTTTAGAAGACTATGTATTAAGGAGGGGGCAATTATTACCATTAGATAAATGATTGAGACTTCAAGCATGCATGCGACTCAAGGAAATAGATCTTACTAAGCTTAAATGTTTGTAGCACTGGGAGCAACACTTAGTTCCATTAAATGTTTAAATAGAAAATCCTGAAAAATATTTTGGATATGGTCTGAGGGAGTTGGTAAACTTATATATTTATTCCTGATATCTATTTGAGTAATATTACGTATTGTATTACAAGTTTCAACATACTGATACTCTCTACTTGTTACAGAGTAATATTACGTATTGTATTACAAGTAAAGTTTCAACATACTGATACTACTTATTTTACTCTCTACTTGTTACGCTTAGGAAGTTGCTACTCCACCAAATAGGCACTATTTTTAAAAAAATCAATAATAATCAATAATTATTATTCAATATATTTTCAGCACTTTTATCTACTTTGTACATATCCATGGTCCAAAAGGCAAATAGTAAAGAAAGATAAAAAGGTGAATATAGGAACAAGATACCATATCTTCTGTTCTGCAATAGTGTCTCCATACATGTTTTTACTCTAATTTATATAGGCTAATCTACTGAAATCAGAATTGCTCAGCTATCAAATGTGTGGGGAAGCAAGAAAGAAACCTAATGAAGCACTGGGTTATCTCTGAAGCTTGTACAATTTGCACATTTATTGCATCAGGTTTTAGGGTTTTTTTGTTTGTTTGCTTTGAACATTATAGAAGGAAGAACCTTAATTTGATTCTCTTTTACAGCTAACCCTGTAAAAGGATGCATACGCTTACGAGATTACCAGAAACACCAAATCTAAAAGGTAATTGAATGTAGCAGTTATCAAAGAAGCAAATGTTAAAGCCATGTTATGCTGATACAAAAAGCCAGTGAAACAGAAAGGACAGCAACAGCAAATGGATGAGCCAATTAGCTACAAGTAATTTTTATTTATTTATTAACTGAAAAGAGCAACAGCAACTGGGTTAGCAGCCAGCATAAGGGTCATGGCCTAAGCTACTTACTGGTTTGTCCTTAATTGTGGGACTTGACACACACAGGTAAAGTTTCCCATCTTCTTCCAGACAGGCATCTATCAGGGCTTGTACTGAGCTTTCCTCTTGGAACAGCAAGAAGGCATAACCTTGGAAAGGGCAAATGCAAAGAAAAAGATGAATTCTTAGAGCATTTTTTTCAATAAAGATAACAACTCCAAAAATTAATAAAATCTAAGAAGTTACAAATAACTTTGTTTTCATAAAATTAATTCACCTAGTATATCACGCCCTTACTTATTTTTATTTGATTAGTGCATACAGTATTGATTTCGTAAGGGAGAAGAGAACACCTTATGGGTGCAAATGTATTTGATTAATGATTTTATGCAGTAAGTATATAGGTTGTTAAATGAGGATTTCCTATTATCCAACAACTGCATCTGAGCTCTTTTTCTGCTGGTGTCAATGATTACCATGTCACAGTTGAGGCACTAGCATCCAGAAAAGTGGACAGGCAGACAGACGAATACATCGGTGACACAAGACAAAAATAAAGTTAATACTAATTCTTCTTATTTAGTCACATTTAACAGGGTGTCTTACATTTTCATAGGAAGTTCTAAAATTCTGAAATCTTTTCCACATAGGAACATTCCAAAATCCTGCAAATTCTCCCCCTTCTGCTGAAAACAAAGCAATTCCAAGCAAAGGCAACCTCTTCTGATGAGAGATTAGTGATTTAGAAAGAAACCTACGGCCTTACAAGTTACAAGCATGCTATAAATAAGGCACTGCCATAATTCCGAATCAAATGGTAACTTTTGCTGAGTACACCAAGGAATAAAAGAAACTCTATACATTATAAGATAACCTTAAAATAGCTATTACTTTAAATTTACATCAAGGAGAGTATTTCCATATTCATCTACTTAGCACTGTTTAGAAAAAAAATGCTTACCTAGAAAAAATAAGCATGAGAAAAAAAGAATCGTGTTTGTTGTATTTTGAGCCAAAGACCTGCTGTTGTTATTTACATTTAAATGCAGCAGTTCAAGAGAAAGAAAATATCCCACAAAGATTCCTCCAGGCCCCGCAGAGCTCTGAGACTCGAAGGCAGTGGGTAGGGCAGCGGGCACAGCCAGCTGTGCCAGGCTCTGCTCGCAGAAGGCCGGCTCCAGCCTCACCCGGCGCAGCCCCGCGCCCAGCCCTGCTCCCGGCGAGGAGGACGCTCTCCGCAGCGCGCCTCACTCGCGCCGGCATCGGGCCGGGTTACCTCGCTGCCCGTGAAGCTGTTGGTTTGGATCTCTCTGTTTGCCCTGCGTGTCCGGGAGGCTGCCTCCTTCCGGGGGGGGGCGGGGCCCCGCGCCCCCCCCCGCCCCGCGCTGCCCCACAGCAGCCCCTGCGGCGCCCGGCACCGTGTGGGGCTGGCGAACGGGGCCGAGACGGAACGAGCTCTGCAGCACCTATTCGGTGAATGCCGTTAATGTTTGCTTTAGGTAAAGGCTACACAAGTATGGTTTATTAAAAAAAAACAGCAAGACACTGAAATTATTATTGAACTAGTTAGCTGTCACCCTGTATCTCTAGTTCTTTGTGAGTCTGTGTGTTTTTAATTCCTTCAATTGAGTTTAAAACATTAAAATCTATGGGGCCATCTTTTTTTTTCCTTCCCCAGAAGCCAACAGAAATTTGCATTATCATCATTATTTACTGCCCAGAACAAGCCTAGAAAGACTGACCTCCCCAAGAAGACAAAATCGCTTCATCGTCACCCCTCTCCAGCAAACAGGGATCAACCACACACCTATACTTTGAGTTAAAGACACCAGGCCCAATACGAGGTGAAATACTTCATGAGGAAAAACATTGGTTTTCTTTCTAGCAGGCATAATACTTTATAACAGTGCTCAAAAGATATATAAAAAACAAGCATTTAAAATGTAACTTTCTAAAACTAATTGCATTTAATTATTAAGAAAACAATTCACTTGCAATCATTGTCATTTCTAGCTTCATGTTATCCTCCACTCATGCATTGTTTTACCTTCTGAATGCTGTCCCTTCTGAATATATTTGATAATAACAGCCCAAACTTTTATTATTTACATCAGTTTCTTTTGTTTAGTTGTATTCTTTCTGTCTCACGCCAAATCAAACAAGTAGACCCTAGGAAGAAACCACCGCAATGCTCCACCTCTAAAACCAACCCATATCCTTTTGTAGTTCAGGCCAATTCAAATTATATATTTTATTATAAATGGCTTACGAGACATCCCCATAGAGATGCAGTACAGATCATTAAATATTACCAAACCCAAAGAATAAGAATACATTTATGTTTAGGTATACTGTAAAATAATATTTCTTGCAATGTATTTAAGGGTTTAGGATTTATCTCCTGAACAGGCCCTAAGATTTGAATTCCAGGAAATAAAAGCTTGTCCATTTCAGATTTTTCTAATCTTAAAGCATCATTATACCTGAAATCCTTTTTTTGCATAAAATCCAAGTCGGGAGATGTGCTTTGAGGCTTAACTATTTAGTAAAAATCTGGATAACAGCTTGGGGTGCTGCTGCTTTCTTCTACGAGCCCGTGCCAGGGCCCTGGGTCACGGCAGAAGGCTGCAGCTGTGGCCATTTGGGGACAAGGTAAGTGGTGCCATCATCATGTTCACGAGCCAGTTAAAATTAACCAAACAAATACTTGGCAATTCTGTTTGGCTGCTAGATACAAGGGCAGCCCCGGTTAGTCAGAATTCAGTTTTCTAACCTGCAGTTGGCAGCAGCTGGGAGCATTAATAAGTTAACATGCTCTGCATTTCCCGAGGCAGAGGCCTAGGGAGTCAACGTATTTAGCATTTTTAATCCTCTACAAGATTCCTTCTACCTCGGAAGCCTGTTCTGGTAGCGCGTTCCTTAGCCAACCTTCCTTATCTGACTGGACAGTGTGAAAGAGCTCACAGGATTCTCCATGACAGAGACCTCCACCGAGGTGAAGAGCCACCGTACGTGAAGCCGCACAAGGAAACGCCCGGGCGAGGGCCGATCCTCCTGCATCTGCAGGGAAAGGCTTCCCAGCATAGCACGAACAGCCCCGCTCGTCCCGCTGCTCCGCGCTGCCCGGAGCGCCCCACCAGCATCCCGCTAGCACAAGGCCACGTTCCTGCTGCACAGAGCCCCTACAACCTGTAAAGGGCGACAGCAGCTGAAGATGAGCAGAACATTCATTCCCCCCATTCTCAAGCACAGCCCAGGTGCTCTTCATTCCTGAGTACAGGAATCATTGGTTATTTTATGAAAAGCAGCTAAGAGCTGAGCTCTTTGTATACACGCCAGTCCCACACCTTAACAGTGACATGATTTCCATGTGAAAGAGTATTTTGTCCAGGACATCTAATTTCACTTACCCTTGCTGTGAACAAGTGGGAAAGTCTGGCACAAACTCATCACTTGAAGGGCAAGACTGCTTGGAACAACCACCTGATGTTGCTACTGCCTGTAGTTGGTGTTCAAGATACCCTTTTGTCAACCTGGAAAGTCGGGGATCTCTCTGCTTCACGTACTGGCATCAAAGACCTCTCATTTCTAACGATGGGGACCCTTCTGTATTGCAGGGAGCACGTGTTGCAGTAAGACTGTACAAATTACAGAATTATAGCCAAAAAGTGCATCATGTTCTGCCCATACTTTCACCAATTTCACTCATCTACCAGAGTGAAAAGAACTTCTCTGGAACCTTTATTAGGGTACAATGTATACTGACCATTCAGCAAGGAAAAAATAAACTTTTTTAAATGGCGAGGCACGCAACTAGCTAGTAGAGTTTATCAGAGAAGACTGCTGCCTTGACCGGACCAAAATTTTTCTCAGAGTTAAAGACAGGCCACTTCCATGGCTCACCAGAAAAAAAAGCTTTTTGACTGCATTTCAGAGCATTCAAGGACAAAAGAGTTAAAAACATCCAGCTTTTTATTTTTTTTCCCTTCCTTCACACTTGCTGACACCTTCCTTGTACAACTGAAACATGAGGCACAAAGTCTGCTGGAGTAAAATGAAATCACTGATGGTGTTTCATAACCTCTGGGAGAAGGTAGGAAGGAAGCTTGGTGTGCTAAAATTTTTATACTCCTTTCATTTTAAGTCATTAGTTACTTAGGTTGTGTGAACGGTCTCCAGTTACTTAATGATAAAGGAATATTTCAGAAAGGCATTAACAGAAAATCTGGGCAGATCTCATGCTGGAATGAACTTTAAAATACATTTTATTCAGTCAGAAGATTTTCAAACATTTCAGTTAATTGACAATTAGTTCCATCTCTTCATCTTATCAGAAGTTTACCATTTTATGTTCAGCTTCTAGACACTAGAAGTAACTCATAAATGCTTTAAATCTTGCATTTGAGAGAGTATATAAATTGCTTTTCAAATATGTCAACCATGAGCTATGTCTTTTGATATAAAGCCAGCATTTTAGGATTCAAACGTTATATAACCCATAGTGAAAGATTAACCTATTTCTGGCTTTTAGAATCACAGTTACTTTTCAAATATAGAAAAATAAAATGTAACAAAGAACGCTATATAAGATCAAAGACTGTATTTGAATATCCATGTCAGAGGTCCCTATATCATCCCTTGATGTCCTGCATTGACCTCGGGCACACACTGTCCCAGAGCTCGGCCCACTTTGCAGAGCGAGGTGCAGAAACCCTGTGCCCAGGGGCTGGCTGACAACTGCGTTATCGGATCCGCGCCGGCGCTGCTGAGCCGCACAGCCAGGGCGCCGGAGACCGGGGCTTTCTCAGGGGTCCCTCTGCACACCCCTTGAATCATCACGGATATTCAATCTCACAGACAAAATGGAAAGATGACTAACTTGGAAATAGCTAAATTACCTTTGAAGAACGTTTTCTTTCATTCTGCCTTCTGCAAGCTGAGAGAGCATCTCCTGGGGTTTTGTGGGCCCCTGATGTAGCTCACAGATTACAATAAATCTGCCACCCAGTGAAGATATTGCATATATAACATGGCAATGTATTTCTAACTTCCATTTTTATGTAAAAAATACAGTGGGAGTTAACCTGACAAAGAAATTAATGTTCTTGCCCCACATTGGTGGTTATTTTTAAACAGCTAAGATGGCTAC